TATTCATTCATCAACATATTCAAAAATTGGAACTGCCAGCTTTTTGAGTTCAAATACATTGGCCCCAGGTAGGGGCTTGGATGGAGAGCTGGGGAGAAGCCGCCCACCAGGACGGAGTCTGATATGAACAACAGCCTGAGCTGGCCACGTAAGACGACACAGAACGAGGAGCGGATCAATCGGATAGGACCAGTGTTCCCTCTAAGCTGAGTTAGTGTGAGCTAGCTCACAGTTTTTTAGCCTCAGGCTCACCCATTTTTGTCTTAGCTCAGGAAGGAAGGCTCCAGAGGAGACTGATTTATGCAGCAGCCATAGGGGTCATTTCCTGCAGGAGCGCAGAGGAGCGGAGCTCCGGCAGTAAAGAGCCCAGGGGGCGGGCACATGCAACAAGCCCCACCCCCTGCTCCCAGCAGCCCTCAGTCAGAGCAAGAAGCAGCCAGGTAAGCTGCAGAGCTCTCCCCGGCCCCCCAAGTCTAAAACAGTCCAGTGGCACTTTTAAGACCAGGTTTTATTCAGGTAGGAGCTCTCCCTCCTCTGCGAGGACAGATCTGCACATTCCCCCGCCCCCCCCCACTAGCTAGCCATTCAAAACAGTCCAGTGGAGCCTGAGCAGTGGGTGTTGCCTTCTGACACACTTCCGGTGATGTCAGGGGGTGTGGCATATGCAAATAAGTTCAAATCAAACCAAATACCTTTTATTGGCATACAATATTAAACTGCAAATAAGTTACGCGAATGAGCCCCGGCACCTCTTTTTCTACGAAATGACCCCTGAATAGCCAGATTGCTCATGCACAACTTTAATGCCAGCAGCTCACCAAGTAGAATTTCTGCTCACAAGATTCCACAGCTTGGAGGGGATTGGATAGGACATCAACTGGCTGCCAAACATCGTCTCATGAATATTCCCAGACCAATTGTACTAGAGCGCTTTACATCATCTCGATTGTTCTGAGAAGGTTTTATGATTGCTTTAATGGTTAATTATGTGTTTTAATTTCTGTCAGCCGCCCTGAGCCTGTTTTGGCGGGGAGGGCGGGGTATAAATCTGAGAAATAAATAAATACATAAATGTAGCTGATCACGAGCGGAGCTTGACTGACATGGGGTCGACAGCAGAAAGTCTTTGTGGGACTACCCCTGATGGCCAAAACAGATGGGATGAAGACCACAGATCTCAGGTGATGATGCTGTGGGCGTACAACTTGTCCCAGGTCCACAGAGAAAAGAAGGAGGGATCTAGCCTTGGTCTTGCAGGGTGTGCTTTTGACACCAAGTATATGTTTGCTGGGTCACGGGCAATACTCCCTCTAAGCTGTGGAGTCTTGTGAGCAAAAATTCTACCTTGTGAGCTACTGGCATTAAAGTTCTGAGCGAGCGATTTGGCTACTGCAGAAACTAGTTTGCTCTTCAGCCATCCTTCCTGAGCTAAGACAAAAATGTGTGAGCCGGAGGCTAAAAAACGGTGAGCTAGCTCACACTAACTCAGCTTAGAGGGAACCCTGGTCACGGGGGCTACATACAGACGTACCTTTAAAGCACACACAACAGAGGCGGTAGTGAGAACGACATGATTTGCTCCTGGAGACAAAGGCCTTGGTGGTCCGCACTTGGCAACAGAACTCTGGGCTCGTTGGACGGACCGTTGCGCTTCAGGTTCAAAAGCGCAAGTGTGATTTCTGAATGCGCCACATTCTCTCCCCCAATCCTTCTGTCTGTAGCCCGTGAGAGGCCTTCTTCGGCGAGGGATCCTTGAGAGAGTCAAGTGGACGCCAGGCCCAGGCTTTTCGATTTGTTCCCTCCCGTCGGTTTACCTCATAACCTGTTCCCTCCTTGGCTTTTGTACAGCGATGCACTCTTTACGCAACACCCTTTCCACGTGTCATCACCAAAAGTCCTCCAACCCCTCTGGTCTTGTTCCTCTCCGTTCTCAGCACTCAAAAAGCACTGTACGGAGGAAATCTGTGCCTGGCTAAGACGTGTTTTGAGCCGTGCCCTTTGCAGACTGGGGCAGGAAGGACAAAATGTTCCTTTTGGTGAAAAAAAAATTGGCATGTCAGATCAAGCCTGGAATTCTCTCCCTGGGATTTCGACAGGTAAAACCAGAGGAGGCACTGGGAGATCTATGACTGGGCCTCACCGAGGATTTCTTATTTCTAATAGCAGCCACCAGTGTCCCTAGTTCAGAATCTTCCACTTGTACAATTTACTTGACCTTACCGGTGGTATTTGTCCTGAGGGGAAAACATACAGGCAGTACACAGATGACCTGAATAGTTACAAGAATGGGCACAGTAATAAGACCAATGAAAAAATAAAAAAGAACTGAGACAATTTAGCACTTGGTACTATATTCATAGGAGCTGCGGTGGCTCAAGTGGTTAAGACGCTGAACTGCAGGCTGTGGAAGGTCGGTAGTTCAGCAGTTCGAGACCCGGGTGTGCCGCATGACGGAGTGAGCTCCCGTCTCTAGTTCCAGCTCCTGCCAACCTAGCAGTTCGAAAGCAAGAAATTGCAAGTAGATAAATAGGTACTGCTTCGGTGGGAAGGGAACCGCGTTCTGTGCGCCTCGGTGTTTAGTCATGCCGGCCACATGACCACGGAAACGTCTTCGGACAGCGCTGGCTCTTCGGCTTGGAAACGGAGATGAGCACCGCAACCCTAGAGTCGGATTCGACTGGCTTTCGAGCAAGGGAACCTTTTCCTTTACCTTACTATATTCATAAATCATAATATACAATAACGGAAAATAAGTAATATATATAGTGAATGTAGACAGTGGTCTCCGGAACGGTGTGCCCATTGAAGAACATAGCTGTAAGCATAGCTTTGTGATGAAGTGAACCAACAGTATATGTTCAATACGTCACCAAGAGAAATGAATTGTTGAAAGAGAGTTTATGTACACATCCTTGTTCAGAAGAAGATCATTGTCGAAACGGCAAACCATTCCGGAGACCACCGTCTACATTCACTATATATATTACTTATTTTCTGTTATTGTATATTATGATTTATGAATATAGTACCAAGCGCTAAATTGTCACAGTTCTTTTTTCTTTTTTCATTAGTACACAAATGACCTACATCTTTCCATCAGAGGGCAAACGACAGTTCCTTGGGGCCAACTGAAGATGAAGAAAAGGTGTACAGGGAGAGTTAACTTCCAGCACGTCTCAAGTCCGCAGTTGCTGTTTTACAGATTTGAAAAGTCTGAAACGGTACAGCTCAGATGCAGGTTCGGCACCTCCGTGAGAGCCAGGCCTCTGAAACCTTTGGGTTGCCCTTCTCCCGAGAGATTTTCACACCGTCATCGTGGACGGGAAAAGAATACCCCTGCTGTATCTCACCTCCCAAACAAAATTCTCTTGACTTGATGTAAAAGTATAATCTATGTTCAGAAAACTGTAAAGCAACAGCCTGGGGGGGGATACACAATGTTGATGCCCCTGTGGGCGTGGCCAACGCCTCCTGAGTCACTTGGAGGATGTGGTCCCACTGGGAAAGGGTCTTGCCTCCATGGCCTTTGCTGGCCCCCGGAAAGCCACTCTTGCAACACCATTCAAAGTAGCCTTTATTCAGGACAAGAGACATTGGCTTGCCACAGCAGCCTTCCACGGAAGCGCCTTACTTCACTCTTCCCCACCAGCAGACTCTTTTCCCTGCTCCTCCCCTCTTTTGTCCACCCCAAAGTGTTCCTGAGCACTGCATGTAATGCTCTCCCCAATATACGGACCCACCCCCCAAGACTCACCCTGCCCTCCATCAACCTCCAAGTTCTCCTCAAGCCGAGGGGCATGCCCTCTCCCCCAGTCACCGCCAACCAACCCCACCCTACGACATGGGTGTCCAGCAACACCCTTCCCACGAACAGCGCTGCTGGTCAGCCTTCAAGCTTCACACTGCTACTGGTCTTCTCCGGGCTTCTCCTGGCAACCCCGGAGGTCCTAGGGCCTGCTTCTCTGCCCCTGCTCCCCGCCAGGAGTAGGCCTCCCCTGGACCTTACAGAAGAACATAAGAGTAGCCATGTTGGATCAGGCCAATGGCCCATCTAGTCCAACACTCTGTGTCACACAGTGGCCCAAACCCAGGTGCCATCAGGAGGTCCACCAGCAGGGCTAGAATGCCAGAAGCCCTCCCACTGTTGTCCCCCCCCCAGCCCAAGTGTTCCATCTAAACCTTGTGGACCTCTGCTCCGTATGCTTATCCAGTCTCCTCTTGAAGCTGTCGATGCTTGTGGCCGCCACCACTTCCTGCTACACTTCCTGTACCTTCCCAGCGACAGAGACATTTAATTATCCATAACAAGATTTTGGACTAGTGAGAAAAATATTCAAGAACATTTACCTGGGTCGCATTTCGTGCAGCATCGCCCCATATATTCATAATACCGCTCGTTGTTACACGGAGGGGTGATTTGGAGGGAAAACTGGAGGACGGAAAAAAGAGGTATTTCAGAAGGTGGCTCCGATTCTGTCGGACTGTGGCTGTCCAGTGGCTATAAAAATGTAACATTTGACAACGGGCAAAGGACAATATTTTCTGTCATCACTGGCAGAATCAGTCGATTAAAACCTTAATAGAATTTATTTTAGCTGCAGCAAGGGCTGCTATAGCTACAAAATGGAAAAACAGATTACCCCCTTCAACTCAGCTTTGGTTCACCCTTATCATGATCACTAGAACGTTTCCTGTGACTTAAATTCTAACTTTCCTGCAATTTGGCTACCAATGTTACCTTCCTCCTCTGACTAGAGAGAAAAAACTGGTAAAACGCACAGGAAGGCTTTTCTGCTTGCCAACCTTCCAGGAGCCAATGCATTTCTCCACCTATACCATTTATCTAATTATTACATAGGCAAGAATAGACCTGAACAGGCACAGAATAAATCAGAAACACTATAAGCAGTCATGGAATGGATTAATATAAAATCCAGCCTTTCATATATAAAGAATATCCATCTCAACAGGTACATTTATGCTGTGAGAAAAACAGGGATGCTGCTATTTCTACTATCCCATGTAACTTTCCAGGCCTCAACAGGGCAAATTGTTTCCACACAGTGTGCTTGTTGCTATATATTGCTCTAAATTCCATTACATTCATGCAATAATTTTTATTTTTTCTTTAACCTCTAGGTGACCTATGCAGTAATTTTTATTAATTTTCGCAACCTTTAGGCTATCTAATAGAAACCGTATAATTCAGAGGACGAACAATGCAATCAAAAGATGCATTACCAAATTAGGGAGAACACACGGGAAATGTGTAATATAATGAAGTAGGTTTATAAAACTGGAGACCAGTGCACCAAAAACAGAATAACATATAGAAAGAACAATGTCCTGAAGATTGCCCAGAACAATGCTAAGGGCTCAGAATATAACTTCAATCTCCACTAAAACAGAAAAGGGCTCAGAATATAACTTCAATCTCCACTAAAACAGAAAATAGATTAAAAGTGAGTGCACCGCACCAGTCCCTGAGTGTACACTTTGCTCATCTTCAAATACTCATTGCACAAATAAGCTCTTCCACGGCTAAATAAATTTACTAAATAAATTATGCGTTACTCATTAGGATATGAAAGCTGATGGTGAAACCTGCTGATTTCTCTTCCTTAGTAACTGGATGCATTCAGTGAAAGCTCAGTTTATCCAGAAGGATAATTATAACAGCCACCTTAATTGGAGACATCCATGGCACATGGTTCCCAGTTTTATTGAGATACATGTCAGAGTGTTAGAGGTAGCAAGCAGTTAATGTAGATCAGTTTGATCTGTCTGTCAAACCTAGCTGTCAGGCTAGTAATCATGTAATTACAGGCAGGTGCTTCTAGCAGGTGTTGCTCTTTCAGGTCTTGTTAGAGTTAGAGATTACATCACCTTGTTAGAGATTGGCTGGGGTTCAGCATAATAGCTATCAGCTTGGTAAACTAGAGGGGACTTAGTTCTCATAGACTAAGGCACATGCTGTTCAACAGTCTGTAAATATCTCTGTATATATTCACCTTTATAACTTTATAAACTCTCCGTGCACCTTCATAACTGGTCAGTCTCCAGCTTCTTATTTACAAAACCTAATAAGTTTATCCAGCACTGTTGTGACCCACTGTTCTACAGTACCAGTGGAAGGTCCTATGTAAGATGCTCATTTTGGGCATGTAGATAGGGTTGCCAACTTCCAGGTGGTGGCTGAAGACCTCCTGGAATTATAACTGATCTCCAGGCAACAGAGAACACTTCACCAAGAGAAAATGGCCGCTTTGAAAGGCTGTGTCTTTGGTGATATACCCCACTGAAGTCCCTCCCCTCCTCTCCACAAACCCCGCCCTCCTCTGCCTCCACCCCCTCCAAATCTCCAAGTATTTCCCAACCAGTGTTCCCTCTAAGCTGAATTAGTGTGAGCTAGCTCACAGTTTTTTAGCCTCTGGCTCACCCATTTCTGTCTTAGCTCAGGAAGGAGGGCTCCGGAGCAGTGTTCCCTCTAAGCTGAGTTAGTGTGAGCTAGCTCAGAGTTTTTTACCCTCTGGCTCACACCTTTTTGTCTTAGCTCAGGAAGGAGGGCTCCAGAGCAAACTAATCTATGCAGCAGCCAAACCGCTCGCTCACAGCTTTAATGCCAGCAGCTCACAAAGTAGAATTTTCGCTCACAGGACTCCACAGCAATGTTTCCTCTAAGCTATGAAGTCTTGTGAGCAAAAATTCTACTTTCTGAGCTGCTGGCATTAAAGTTGTGAGCGAACGATTTGGCTGCTGCATAAATTAGTTTGCTCTGGGGCCATTCTTCCCGAGTGAAGACAAGAATCCATGAGCTGGAGGCTAAAAACCTGTGAGCTAGCTCACACTAACTCAGCTTAGAGGGAACACTGCTCCACAGCTTAGAGGGAGCATTGTAATCCCAACCCAGAGCTGGCAACCTTAAACGTAGAAAATGGGAAGGCAAAGCAGCAAAACCCAAAGTGTTGGACTGTGTTCCACTTGTAGAGGCTGATTCCTCTGGTAGAAGGAACTTTCCCCTCGTGTAAGACAGCTGGAGTCTCTTGCATCAGGGGAAGGCTCCTTCCGCGGAAGGAAACCACCTCTGGGAGCAGAAGGGATCCTGCAAGATCCAACCCAACGATTCGAATAACAAAGAGTCTTCTCCTATAACGATTAGGTTGGATCCAGATTAACTGTTCCAGGGGCTGAGTGGGATTTCTCCTGCCTCCCCACTGCTGCCCACTGATCTCAACAAAATGCTGCTTCTGAGGGACAGGAGGGAAATGACACGAAGGGGTCTACCATGGGGAAGGGGGAATGAGTAGAAATTGCCAGTTTGCTTCGGATCTAACCCATGCTCCCTCTAAGCTGTGGAGCCTTGTGAGTAGAGATGTGAAGGCCCGGAAAAAAACTGGAAAAATTCGGGAAAAAACCGTCCCCCCCCCTTTTTTCCTGAAGCCTTTTTTTCCGAAAAATTGGAAAAATTGAAAAAAGAAAAGAAAAAAAATTGATTATGGAACGTTTTATTTTAACATGATGAATAAAATATTTTAAGACAAGGTGTTCAAATATTTTCCAAATCATTTCCTATATATATATGGTATCAGATTGATCTAATTTCTGTGCACTGACAAGCAAGTCCTAGGTTACAAACGGAACTCTCCAATGCAAGAACAAGATGCATTTCTTCCTTTAGGAGGTGCTATTGTCACGAGAAAAGAAAAAGGTTTCAGTTTTGTTTTTGCATGTGGGTGGGTATTCTGTTTGTAATAACTGTTTGGACACACTATATTTTTAATATGCTAGTTGTGATAATTTCATGCCAAGTAAAAATGTCCATAGTCATATTTTATGTTCCTAAAGTAACAGAATGACTTTCAATCTAGAAAAGACAAAAGAAGTGCTAATGTAGCATTTTTTTTCAATTTTTCCGAAAATTTCCATTTTTTTCTGAAAAAAAACGTGTTTTTTTCAGAGCTTCAAAATTTCCAGAAATTTTACATCTCTACTTGTGAGCAAAAATTCTACTTTGTAAGCTACTGGCATTAAAGCTGTGAGCGAGCGATTTGGCTACTGCATCGAATAATTTGCTCTGGAGCCCTCCTTCCT